CCTAAATAAAACTTACTCGAAAAATGGTAATTGGGCTAGAGAGATAATAGAGGGGTTAAGGAACTTGCTTTGCATGCAACAAACACCACCAGGAGTAACTTCCAAGAATACAGATTGTAAGCACCACCAGGTATGGCTGAGTTCCCCAAAATGGGTATAATATATCAGGAAGACAGCTCAAAGGGCCAGATCACATGCACTGCATGTGCAACTTCCAACCTCTGCTCTTCAATATTAAATATACCTTAAAATGGCATAAAAGAACTCAGACTGTTGACAACTAAAATCCTATAGACATTCGGCCAACTCTCAAGTATTAGAATTAGTAGAGAAAACGGTGCAGCTATTCTAAAGTCCAAAGGAAACATAGAATATATGTTTATTCTTAACAGAGAATTACCGATGTGTCTGATAATTTCAGAAACTAAAAGATGTTTTAATTAAACACTTGAATCCAAATACAAAAAGTCATGAAAAAGTACTCCTAAAGTTAATGTCTCTATGGTAGGGATGGGGAATACTTTTCATTCTGTTCTCTCTCTTCACTTGTTTATCTGGCCTATGAATGCTTCACTAAGGCAAATGAGTCAAGGAAGAGAAAGGATTATTTCTATTTGGAAGAATATTTTAAGGTAGCATGGTAGCACGGTACTCCCGTTGTTCATCGATTTGCTTGAGCGGGCCCAGTAATGTCTCCATCTTGAGACTTGTTACTGTGTTTGGCATACTGAATACATCACGGGTAGCTTGCCACGCAGGCAAGTCAAAGCTATGCTGACTAAAGGAAAGTCTAACATATCACAAACACTACAAAGTAAATAGAACTAGCCAGACAGATATTCCTACTAATGTTCTGACAACACCTGCTCTTCACCTTGGTGGTTTTTCTCTTTCATGTGTAGATAAACTGCAAGTGTAACTCTCACTCACTCTTCTGTGTGTGTTCACACACGTGCATGCACGTGTACACACATGCACATGCATACATGCAAGAAATACAGGGAACAGACTTTCTTTGGATAAATTAATTATATAAGATTAACTTGTACCTTCACAAAGGCACCATAGTGTATTTCCAAAAAAATTGCTATCTTATCTTCTTGTTCAAATCATGGATGGGCTAGCATGTGACATAACTGGCTGGACTCTAAAGACAGTTAATTCTGGTCTGCTGTTGGTAATCTTTGGTCATATTAAAAATTGCATGAAAAAATACAGGCTACTCAATAGATTTTAACACTTAACTCTAAATGATTATCAAGTCTCTTTGATATATTTATGCTTGAAATTCAAAACTACTAACTGGCACATAAGAACAACTAGCTTTGTGGCCAGGGAGATAATGCAAAGGTCTGGAGTCCTTGCTTTGCAAAGAGGGTTCTATGCTTGTCATTGCATGAAGAGCTGGGTGTAGCCCCTGAGCATGGAGAAGGAGTAGGAGGAAGAAAGGAGGGAGGTGTGAGAAGGAAGGGGGAGGAGGAGGAGTGGGAAGAGGAGGAGAAATAAGAGAAGGAGAGGGAGAAGAAGGAGAAGGAGGAGGAGGAGGGGGAGGAAGTGAAGGGGAAGGAGGAGGAGGAGGAGGAGGAGGAGGAGGAGGAGGAGGAGGAGAAATGAAGGTGAACAACTACTAGATCTTCTGTTTCCAGTTCATAACCTATTATAATGAAAGCAACTCAGAAGACCAGAAATACTAGAGAGGCAGCTTATGTACACAGGATTTTGGTCCCGGTTCTGCAGCTTGCTGAGATATAATGAAATGCATTAAACAACCTCTTGTCTGGTCTGTTTCTTCATCTATAAAATGAGAAAATTGGATTCAGATTTTAAGATACTACAGACCAGGCTGACGAGCAGTGTAGTATATGTGCACAATGGAATACTACTCAGGTTTAACGCAGAATCATGAGGTTTGCTGCTATATTGATGGAACTGGAGAGTACCTTGCTGAGTGAAGTTACCCAAAAGTAAAAGTACAGATAAAAATGTGAAATATATGTGGGATATAAAGAGACAGTATAAGGAAATAACAAATGCCTTAAGGCAAAATAACCTAAAAATTAGTCTGAAGAACTGAGTCTTAGGTAGAGGGTGGGTAGGATGGGGAGAGGAAACAGAGATCATGAACGTAGGAGGAAATGGGCACTCTGCTGAAGGGTGTGGTATTGGAAAGATTGTGCACATAAAACCCTACCATTATAAATCACTCATAAAAACCTACCATTGTAAATCACGGTGCTGAAAAGAAAGAAAAATTTAAAAAAAATTAAAAGACCAAAGGCAGGCAAAAAATTGAAAAAAACAAATAAGGTTGGTAAGAAGAATAACACAGCACATGTTTAACTCCTCCAAATTCAAAGGATATATCTTATAAAAAGAAATAATCTTTTTTATTATATCTTATAATAGTCCTTATTTTCCTTAGTTCATGATAAACCAGATAAAAATTTCCCTGGTTAGGAGACATAGAACAGAAGGTAGGATGCCATGTCTTGTATGCAGCCAACCCAGGTTTGATTCCCAGCACTTTATATGGTCTACACCAGGAGTGATCCCTGAGCGCAGAGCCAGGATTAAGCACTGAGCACCACTGGATGTAGCCCCCAATCAAAAAAACAAAATAACAAAACCTTCACAAGTCAGAATTAGGCTAAAAGTCAATGTCGTCAATGTCAGGGAACCTGAACTATATAAGTTTCAAGCTCAAATATGATTCTAAGCACCCTTTTTCAAAATTTTGATCACGATCATCCTGTTGTTCATCGATTGCCTCAAGCAGGCACCAGTAACGTCTCCTTCATCCTAGCCCTGAGATTTTAAAAAGTGCCATATTCAAAACTTTTCATTCTTACTTTGGACAACCTGGCAGGCTACCGAATGTAACCTGCCCACACGGCAGAGTCTGGCAAACTCCCCGTGGGTATCCAATATGCCAAATACCAGTAACAATGATGGGTCTCAAAAATTTGGTATTATTGTCTATAATAGGCATTCCAATGAAGGATAGTGCTAAAACTACTAATTTTTGAAGACCAGAAATATACTTAAGGGCGAAAGAGATAGTACAGGGACTAAAGAGCTAGCTCAGTTCCATCCCTGGATGGTATATGACCCTATGTAATGCCAAGGGTCACTCCTGAGCACAGACCCAGAAGTAGCCCCTAAGCACCAACAGAGGAGACTGAAAAAATATGAAAAAATAGGAATAGATAAGCTTTAACTCATTGGACAGCATATACACTACTATTAAACTCCATTGCCAATAAAGAACTATTCACTGGATACTTAGTATTAAGGTCCTTTTTACAGGACCACTTTCAGAACTGATCTCAGAGTGATACTGGCAGCTGAAATTATTTCAGGTAGCTGCTGCCAGGCTGGAGCCTTACCAGGACTGGGGAAGACCAATTCCCCACTCTGTCAATGGCCCTACATTCTACCCACATCCAGCTCCTTATACAGCCAGAGAAATGGTCCAACTTCACAACTGATCTAAGTAAGTCATTGGCAGCTTATTGTTCCAGCACCAAAGCTCCTGAAGTGTGCGAATAGCTATAACACCTCCAAACTTCACAAAGCTTACAGACCAGTAGCATCAAAGAAAATTAAATGGGTAAATTGCATAGAAGCCTGCTAAGTTCAATGAGTGAAAATAATAATATAGAAGGCTCAACTAGCACCTAAAGGCTCTATAAGTCCTCAGACAATTACTTTTGTAATACCAGTATGAGATATATGTTCTAACAAGCAGTATCAAGTAAATTATTTTGTGCCTGCTAAGAAGAGAGCAGGCTTGGGTAGGGGATGGTAGAGAACTGGGGACACTGGTGGAGGAAAGAACAATTTGGTGGTGGGACTGGTGTTGGAACATTGAATACCTGAAACAACAAATGCATTGTAAACAACTTTGTAAACTAAGAGGTTTAAAGTTTCATACAAAAAGGCCCATTTTAAGGATTAAAAAACTGAGGCAACAGTAAACAAAACAGCTTGCCAAAGAAACATAGCCTATAAGCTTCAGAATTCAGTAACGGAACTTAGTTCTATGACTCCATTCTTTATGGTCTTCAAAGAAAAAATATTGTATTGGGCTTTTAAATTATTTCCCTTTTATAAACAAGTGACAGGTTATTTAAATTTTAGAAGTAACACCAAGTAAAAAAGTTTTTCTGTTTTACTTTTACAAACACTGGTATTCACTTGTTATTTATTTATTTTCAATGGGATTACAGGGATATGCACTATTACAAAATTGTTCCTGACTGGGTTTCAGTCATATATTGTTCCAACACCTGTCCCTTCACCAGTATACATTTCTCACCACCACCAATGGTTCCAGTTTCCCTCCCACATACCCCCTGCCTGTTTTCTCTCTCTCTCTCTCTCTCTCTCTCTCTCTCTCTCTCTCTCTCTCTCCCATATCCCTCCCTCCCTTCCTCCCTCTCCTTTTGGGCCTTATGGTTTGCAATACAGATACTTAATGGTTATCAGGTATATCCCTTTACCTACTTTCAACACTCAGTTTCTGTCCAAAATGATAGTTTCCAACTATTATTGTCATGTTACTCTGACTTTGGATACTAATCATATATATATATATATACACACACATATTTTATACCCCACAAATGAATGCAGTCATTCTATACCTGTCCCTCTCCTTCTGACTTATGTCACTCAGCATGATACTCTTAGTGTCCATCCATTCATAAGGAAATTTCATGACTACATTCTTCCTAAAGGCTGCAAAGAATACTGGTTTTTAAATACAAACATAAAAAAATATTGGCAAGGTTTTCTCACCATTAAATAAAAATGCTTGTTACGGTGCAATGTGCGGAAACCTGAGGACAGTGGTGGACAGAAATTAACATTGATGAAGAGACTGGTGCTGGAACATTGTATGCCAGAAACTCAACTATGTAAATTTAATTAAAACAACTTAACTTTGCACAGCACAATGCACAAATATTTTTTTTAATTTGTAAAGGATAAATACTTACAGATTTCTCCCTTTTCTCTTAAGAAGAACAAGTATGTCTTCTATGATTTCAATCTGCAGCGAGAAATAATATTTATGAATAAAGAAACATTAAAAAGCCCTTTAAAAAACTTAAGTGCTACTTCATAATTATTACATGTACACCTTAGTTCTTAGACTAAACCCTCCACCCCCAACAATCCCAGTGAAAGCTGTAATGGAAATATTCATATTACAAATCACTGTATTAAGTAGCTGGTATTCATTCAGCCAGTTAATTTTCTCATTTGGCACCATTAGAAGAACGGACTTATTCACTCCCAGATACCTCATTAACAGAGTATGACTTTTTATTTAGTAGAACTACATTTTTTTTGGTTTGAGGGCCACACCCAACAGTGTGCAGGGTTTACTCCTGGCTCGGTGCTCAGGGATCAGCCCTGGCAGTGCTCAGGAGGCCACATGGGGTGCTGGGGACTGAACCCAGCCAGGTCAGCTAAGTACAAAGCAAGCACCTTACCTGCTATACTGTATCACCAGAATGACTTATTTATTCATTTATTTTGGTTGCGGGGCAACCCCCAGTGAAGCTCAGGGTTTACTCCTGGCAGTGCTTTGAGGACCACAGGGGATGCCAGGGATCAAACACAAGTCAGTTGCATGCAAGGCAAGCATCTTACTTTCTTTACTACACTCCAGGCCCTAGAACTACTTTTAAATATCAAGTTAATATCCACAATCTACTGTAAGGAAGAGGTGCCAGTGCCAGTGTCAGTGTGAGTATGAAAACAATTGGACAAAACTACTTATAAGCAGCAGGCTTGATATTTAACATTCTCTTATATAGGTCTCAAAAGTCCATGCTTTCCCCAAAAAATATCACTTCAAAAACCCAATTACAGGTACGGGGGGTAGGAGGTGGGAGGAATGCTGGGACCATTGGTGGTGGGCACTGGTGGAGGGATAGGTACTAGATCATTGTATGACTGAAACACAAGCATTAAAGTTTATAAGTCTGTAACTGTACCTCACGGTGATTCACTAATAAAAAAAATTAAAATTTAAAAAACAATTACAAAAATTGACTGTCTACAAAATCATTATCAAAATCAAATCAGCAAAAGGAGGAGATACAGTATAAAACTATTCACTATTTGGAGCCAAAGTGATAGTACAGTGGGTAGGGCATTTGCCTTGCACATGGCTGACCCAGATTTGATCCCCAGCATCTCATATGGTCCATCAAGCATTGCCAGGAGTAACTTCTGAATGTAGAGACAGGAGTAATCCCTATGCATTGCTGAGTGTGGCCCTCCAAAACCAAAAATAAAGTAAAACTTTGCTAGTGGGCTGGAGAGCTAGTACAAGCGGGGAGGCACTTGCCTTGTATGCGGTTGATTACTTTCAATCCTTGGCACCACATGGTCCCAAGCACCACTAGGAGTGAACTGAGCACAGAGGCAGGAATAGCCCCTGAGCAGCACCAGGTGTGACACCAGAACAAAGAATAATTATAACCACAACCACTACTACAACAAACTATCTACCAGTTTACCTAGATTGGTAAAAGAAGATGATCATTAGCACTCAGTCCTTGACAAAACAGAGTGAAATTAGAATTAAATTGACAATGGAGACCCAATTTCAACCTTCTACTTCATTTCCAGTGTTAGGGCCCTCAAATCACTTGGGGCAGGGTGAGGCAACTCTAAAGCTATGGGGGCCAGGGAGAGGATGATGTTGGGGACTGAACTTAGGACTTCACTCCTGTGACTCACATACTCTATCAGTGAGCCACATTCCCCCCAGTTCTCAGTGGTTCTTGAATCAAATGGTAAATTTTCTCAGTGCCTATAACCAAAATAAAATGGATTCTGTTTTATTTTTAAAGGAAAGTAACAGCTGTCCAGTAGAAAAAAGAGAATCAAATCATATTTCCTAACCTCACCTAGTTAAAGTTTTTTCTACAAAAAAAAAAAAAACAAAGACTGCATTTGCCTCTCTACTTATCCTCCTCCCTAAAATAATAGCACCCTCCCTCTTTGAGTCATTCCATTAAAATCAATTGAAGAAAGAGGCTCAAGAGATAGAACAGTACTTTCTTTGTACACAGCCAACCTGGTTTTGATCTCCACCATCACGTGGTTCCAAGCACCACCAGGAGTGAACTGAGCACAGAGTCAGGAGTAGTCTCTGAGCAGCAATGGGTGTGGCCCCCAAACAAAGAACAATTACAACCACAACATCAAACTATCAAGATATCCTTCCTGAGTCCTGCCGAGAGGGATCCTTGAGTGCAGAGCCTGGAGTAAAAAAAAAACTCTGAGCATGGCCAGGTGTGGTGATTAAGGAGGTAGAGGAAGAGAAGGAGAAGGAGGAGGAGACGGAAGAGGAAGAAGAGGAGGAGCTACAAATGTGCATAGTGTTTCAATTAAAATGGGGAAATTTTATTTTAAAAATGAATAAAGTTAATTTAAGAAATAATTTAATATAAAAAAGGAGTCAGGTAAGATGGCTTGAAGGACTTAGGTGCATACTCTGCTTGTAGAAGGCCTGGGTTTGATCCTCATCACCTAATGGTCCCCCAAGCACCACCTGAAGTGACCCTGTACACTGAGCTGAGTGTAGTTCCAGAGCACAGTTAGGTATGACTCAAATTCACCACAAAAAAAGAGCTAAGGTGTTTGATCATTGTACAATTGAAACCCAAGCACAAAAAAAATTGTAAATCTACAACTGTACCTAATAGTGTTTCACTAACAAAAATTTTTTAAAAAATGTAAATGATGGAGAATGGGCACTGGTGGAGGGATGGGTACTGGATCATTGTAATACTTAAACCCAAGCACAAAAATTTTTAAGTCTACAACTGTACCTCATGGTGTTTCACTAATAAAAATTCAAAAAAAGAGCTAAGCAGACTACCACATAATGAACTAAGCACTTCTATTTACAGATCAGGAGAGACAGAATTTGGCTAAATAATAGTGCAAATTCTAGGCATACTTTTCACTTCCACAGACATGCAAGTTGTAACATAAGGAAGTTGGAGGTCCTTAGCTAACCAAGTTTTAAGAGACTGAAGCATGTATGTTTAGTTTCTACCAAACAATCATCTGGTGGCATGGAAAAATATAACATCTACCATTTATTATTTTACAACTGGGGTATAAAGGAGAAAGCCTGACTCACAAATACCAGAGAGCAAAAATGTGTCCATGTAGATAGCAGGGCATGATTAAGAAGAAAACACAATACAAATACAAGAGGGTATTGTTCAAGTTCAGACAACCATCATGTTCTGAGGCAGACTTAAAAACAAACCATTTATGTGTTTCTCTTTTGCCCTTATAGCAACAAATAAATTGCCTTTTAGCTTGATCACTTGATCACTTAACATTCCATTACTCATCGATTTGCTCGAGCAGGTGCCAGTAATGTCTTCATTTGTCCCTGTCGTGTGCTAGTATAGCCCAATGATATTTGCTCATTCTAGGAACACAAACAGCCTCAAATCGATCGTTCAGGGTCTTGATGAAGTCCGGCCATCTTATAGGTGGGCGGCCACGTGATCTTTTGATGTCCTGTGGAATCTAGTCAGTAACAGCTCTAGTCCAGCAGTTGTTTGCAAATTTCATTATGTGTCCAGCCCATCTGATTTTCAATGCCTTGGCAAATGACAGTGTCCCTGATTCTTGACTGTCAAGGGAGGTAGGAACTCCGGATTCTTTCTCTCATTTGAGTGAAGTGTGATGCTCCAAGCACAGCTCTTTAGATTCCTCTTAGGGATACCCAAATAGCGTTCCCATCCTGTTTGCGTAGGGCCCAGGTCTCTGAGACATATGTTAATGCAGGAAGAACAGTGGAATCAAAGAGATGTGCCCAGAGCCGGAGATTCTTCCTCCTCTTAGCTATTTCTTCCATGCTCTTGAAGGTGTTCCAAGCCGCTCTTTTCCTCCTGTGCAACTCAGGTGTCAGGTCATTTGTCATGTTGACTTCTCGACCTAGGTACACTTAACTTGCATTCGGAGCTGTCTATCCCGTTGAGATCGAATGCAACATAAGGAACGAGACCATTTCTCATAAACATTGTCTTTGTGAGATTCAGCTATAGTCCGACCTTTCCATACTCACGGTCGCAGTCGACCAGCATTTGTGCTGCTTGGCTTATGTTTGGTGTTATTAGAACAATGTCATCAGCAAATTGGAGGTGGTATATATGCCGACCATCTATCTTCACTCCCATTCCTTCCCATTCCAGCCGCTGCATGATGTTTTCGAGGGTGGCACTGAAGAGTTTCGGTGAAATGGTATCACCATGCCGAACCCCTCTCTTGGCATCAATGATCACCTCCCCGCAGAATGGTGAGATTCTGGTAGTGAATCCGCAACACGGCTCATGGAGGATCCTGATGTATTGAGTTTGACCGTCCTGTTTGGCTAGGGCCTCGATGACTGCTTCAGTCTCAACAGAATCAAAGGCCTTCTTTAAATCAACGAACGTTAGACAGAGCAGCATCTTGAACTCCCGAGAAACCTCAATGAGCTTGCTTATTGTGTGGATATGGTCGATTGAGCTGAATCATTTTCGGAAAATAGCTTGCTCGCGTGGTTGTTCTTCATCTAGTGTTCTGCCAATTCTATTCAGGATGACTCGCGTGAACAGCTTGTAGACAACAGACAACAGGCAGATCGGGCAATAGTTGCCAATGTCGTGGATGTCTCCTTTCTTGTACAGTAATACAGTCCTGCTGGTTTTCCATGGGAACGGAAACTTGCATTCAGACAGGTAGCATGTGAAGAGCCGAGTCAGTGTAATGATGAGTACTGAGGGCAGGTTCTTCAGGTGTTTGGGTTTGACCTTGTCTGGGCCGGGTGCTGTTTGCTTCTTTATCCATGAAATGGCGTGTCAGATTTCGGAAGGGGAATGTTGGGAACAACATATCCATCCTGTGGAATTTGGTGTGTGGGAAGGTGGATGTGACTATCGAAGGATCCGAGTAGAAGTCATGGATAATCTTTTCCATTGCCCTTCTGGAAGATGTGATAGATCCATCAGGACGTTGGAGGGCAGT